CCCTAACTCAAAACTCAACTCTATTGCTCTCTAAAGCGATATCGGGAAGCCTCACGCTCCCCCTCTATTTATACATGAGGTAGGCAGCCTAAAGCCACGAACCAAACTCATACTAGGAGTCCTAAACACCTTAGGAAACCCTCTAGTACAAGAAAGAAACTTTACATAACCAAACGTACCAAATTTGGACTCCTTCCAAATTCGACTCCGCATCCCATACGCACACAATAACTCCATCGTATGCCATATGGAATCTCCATCAACCACGTGCATCAACCCTAGCCTAAGTATCCCGCATGATCTCTGACCACCACGGACGTCGTCTTATCCCCAAGCCGACTCCCGGTCCATCACCCCAAATACTCTCCCGAGACATCGAGTCACCTACACTAGGAACAAACAAAGAAACCATATTCCGAGACCAAGCTATCTCCAACTTGACTCATTAGCAGCAAACAATAGTATTACATACGTATAGTATCCATCTAGAAGTCATAATCATGAAATAAACTCGGATATCCAAATAAACAACCCGAAACCGAAACCGACACAGTGTCGGCCGGTCAGACCGCGGGATGCGCCGGTCTGACTGGCTACCAGAGCCCGGTCTGACCAGTCACATAAAATGATAGAATCTGCGATTCACCTGTGAAATCCAATCATCTCCAAAACCACTTCGTAAATAAATTCCAAATAACAAAACCAATAATCTCCAATGCCCAATTGTTCATCACAGAATAATAATCAAAAACACCTTTGAACTTACAATCTCCCCCTTGATGAACACATTGGCTAATTCATAAAAATGTTTTGGTGTTTGGAAAAAGAAAAACAAAAGTGGTAAAAAGCACACTTCGTACAAATGTACACATCGTGCTCAAAAATCAAAAAGAAAACTTCTCCCCCTTTTTAAAAGAAAGAAATTCCCAATTGAACCTAAAACATGATCTTATTTTCACATTACTTCTCCCCCTTTTGACAATGATTTCATCAAGCATAGGAATTATGTTCATTAATGTTCAAGAGCTTAGCATACATATAGCATATCAAGTCATGTGTTGTAATAAAAAGAAGAAATATTCAACACAGAATCACCACAAGAATCAAAAACTTTACTTCCAGTTTTCTTAAAGTGAACATCAAAATTCTCATCAACAATTTGTGAAACTGAAAGCAAATTGTACTTTAAATCCTTAACCAAAGCTACATTCTTCAATTCAAAATTTTCATTTACCTTAACCAAACCTGTAGCGACAACGGCACTCGTAGAAGCGTCATCAAAGACAATTGATTCAGTCTTGGATTCCTTCTTTAGGGAGGAGAACCAATTTTTATCACCGGTCATGTGCCGCGAACAACCAGAATCCACGATCCACACGTTCTCCTTCCTTGCCACCAAAATCTACACACAAGTAGAAGTCGAAGCCTCAGTACTGGGGTTAGATGATAATAAAAATTTAGGAATCCAGTACTGAGACACACGACCAGTAGATCCAATAGGCATATATCCACGTGCAAAATGAATTATAGAATTTTCAGAAAAATTCCTCCGAGGCCGGTCTGACCGAAGTACAGTGGCCGGTCTGACCGGGCGCCGGTCTGACCGCCTCTGTACCGCCGGTCTAACCGAGGCTGTTCAGCCGGTCTTACCGGTCGCCGGTCTGACCGCGGGACCCACTGCGGTCTGACCGGTTTCCTCGAGGGAAAACCAGATTTTTGCCTCTTTGATTTTGCAAAGGCAATCTCTCTCTTCTTTTTCTGTTTATGATCTAATCTGAAACAAAAATCAACAACATGTCCATCTTTGCCACAAAAAGAACAAGTATATTTTTCACGTTGTTTAGACACATTGTTAGAGCAAGAAGATTTAGCCACACAAGCAGAAACAGGAGGTTTTGCATGCACAACATTGGATTTTGAAGAAGATGCATTCATGGTAGACATGATACCAGCAGATTTAAATACAGTTTTATTAGTATCATGTTTAATCAAAATCTCACCACTTCTAGCACCAACACCTAACACAACAGGAGGATGTCTAGAATTATGAGCATAAGGATCAAAACCTAAACCACGGTTATTTGTGCTAACCTTTGATTGATCCAAAATCATGTTGAGGTTCTTTTTACCATCAGAAAATCTTAGCAAAGAATTTTTCAAATAAGAAACCTCTTTTTTCAAATTAGCACAATTTTCACAATCTACCATGACACCTTTGCTTTTACGACATTTAGGGCAAGAAAGCACTTCATTGTTTTTCATAACATCTTCCATATACTCAACACGACCTAAAGCATCTTTTAGTTTCATCTTATTCAAATTACATGTTGAGCAATCCAAAACATCATGAGGTTGTTTTAACTTTTTAGCAGAAATCATGTTAAACATCAAACTAGCATGAAAAGCAATTTGATATTTTTGTAACAACTTTTTAGTTAAAAACAACTCATCCAAAGTGCGTGTGTGCAAAGCAAAATTACAAGCAAGAGAAGATCTATTTTTCAAATCATGAGCAGCATTAACATCTCTAATTTTTGAAATCTCATTCATTAAAACCTCACAATTTTCACAATCATCATCATTAGGAATAAGAGATTTTAACCTATCAATTTCAGATTTAAGAGATTCAATGATAAATTCCTTTTTTTTATACATCTTCTCACACTTTTTATTTTTAGCACTCAAAATATTAATAGCTTCTTCAAAAACACTCACCTCATTATCTTCATACTCTGTGTCAGATTCACCACGCGCCATGAAGCAAACATCGGAGACGTTCTTTCCCTTATCATCATCTCCACTTTCACCATCTACATCACTTAGTGGCCCGAAAGCGGCGCAAACTTGTTGAAAAGCCTTCCTAAGATTCTCCGTCTTCCTCCCTTGGTTAGAACTCTTCGACTTGTTGTAGTTGGGCTTGTTGTTGCTGGTCTTCTCACCATCTTTGTCTTCTCTTTTGCCTCTCCCAAGCTTAGGACAATGCGAACAAAGATGATCAATTGAACCACATTCAAAGCAACGATTTGGACCACCACTTTTCCTGTTCCTGGCATTATTCATAGCTCGAGCAATTCTGTTAGTGACCAAAACCAAATCCTCCTCGATTTGTTCGAGTTGATCATCGGATGTGGCATTAAAAACAGCAAGAAAAGATGACTTAGATGAAGAAGAAACCAAAGCACTCGATTTAGAATCAACTTTGCGAGAAAGAATATTCATCTCATGTGTTTTCAATTTAGTATAAAGTGAATCCAAAGTCAAAGTAGACATGTTAACAGACTCCTGAATAGATGTAACTTTCATCTCCCAAATAGACATGTCGAGACCATTCAAAAAGTGACGAGAAATCTCAGATTGTGGATAATTAGCATCATAAGAAGAATCAACATATCTAAGATCACTCAAAATTTTATTAAACCTAGAAAGATAGTCATCCAAAGCTTCTCCAGGTTTCATCTTAAATTTAATGTATTCCTTTTTAAAAAGATCTCGATGAAGCTCTTTAATGTTATTTGTTCCTTGATGAAAATTCTTCAAAGCATTCCAAATCTCATGAGCAGTTTCAAGATGTGCAACACGATCATAATCAGAACGAGAAATCTCACTCAAAAGAATATTACGAGCTTTGCAATTGTTTTCAAATTCAATTTTTAAAGCATCAGTATTAATGGCTTCAGGAATCACATAAGAATGAGAAACTTTCCTCCAAATATCATAATTTTCAGCCATAATGTAAGATTGCATGTTACTACACCAATGAGGAAAATCAGTTCCATCGAAAATATGAGGCTTAGTTGAAAACCTAGCGGGAGTAGCCATGGCAAAAACTTTAGATCGATAAAAATCCAAAGAAGAAAACAAGGCTCTAATACCACTTGTAGGATCGAATCACAAGAACTAAGCCAACCAGAGGGGGGGTGAATGGTTGGTATACCCAAAAACCGAAAACTTTTAGCGGAAATAAAAGTTACCCTCGAAATCGACGGAAGTCGGTCTGACCGAGATTGATCTGCCGGTCTGACCGAGTGAATGCCGCCGGTCTGACCGGTGTTGAATCTCCGGTCTGACCGCCGAGATCGCCTGCCGCGCCTGTCGCCGCCGCCGGTCTGACCGCCCGTATGCCGCCGGTCTGAACGCCGCTTGCCGCCGGTCTGACCGCCGGTAGATCTCCAGTTAGACCGCCGAAACCCGGTAAACACAAATCGAAGAACTCTTAAAGTGGATGACAACTTTATTGATTCTCTCTGTGTTTACAAAGTGCACCAACAGCACTCCTTACGAAAATTTCGACTAAACTCGAAACCCTAACTCAAAACTCAACTCTATTGCTCTCTAAAGCGATACCGGGAAGCCTCACGCTCCCCCTCTATTTATACATGAGGTAGGCAGCCTAAAGCCACGAACCAAACTCATACTAGGAGTCCTAAACACCTTAGGAAACCCTCTAGTACAATAAAGAAACTTTACATAACCAAACGTACCAAATTTGGACTCCTTCCAAATTCGACTCCGCATCCCATACGTACACAATAACTCCATCGTATGCCATATGGAATCTCCATCAACCACGTGCATCAACCCTAGCCTAAGTATCCCGCATGATCTCTGACCAACACGGACGTCGTCTTATCCCCAAGCCGACTCCCGGTCCATCACCGCAAATACTCTCCCGAGACATCGAGTCACCTACACATGGAACAAACAAAGAAACTATATTCCGAGACCAAGCTATCTCCAACTTGACTCATTAGCAGCAAACAATAGTATTACATACGTATAGTATCTATCTAGAAGTCATAATCATGAAATAAACTCGGAAATCCAAATAAACAACCCGAAACCGAAACCGACACAGTGTCGGCCGGTCAGACCGCGGGCTGCGCCGGTCTGACCGCGCATATACCACCGGTCTGACTGGCTACCAGAGCCCGGTCTGACCGGTCACATAAAATGATAGAATCTGCGATTCACCTGTGAAATCCAATCATCTCCAGAACCACTTCGTGAATAAATTCAAAATAACAAAACCAATAATCTCCAATGCCCAATTGTTCATCACAGAATAGTAATCAAAAACATCTTTGATTTTAGAGTGCTTTGGTGGTTAGTGCGAACCGTGTCCTGCACAATTCTGCCATGAGAAGAAATGGAGTTGAGACGATCGATCAGCTCCCCATTCGCCAACGAGCACATACCTTGACTTGTTCAAGCCGCAGGATTGTTTTGCATGTCGAGGTTGGCAGCGGTCCACACTACATCGCCCTCAGGCCGTCCCGCTGGATGGAGCTCGAACGAGCCCCTGCAGTACCTGGTAATCACACCATGAAAAACCACAACTCCATTTTTTTTTTATATAAAGAGGGCGAAGCCCTCCCATTTCACTAACGAAATGAAAAGATCCTTACAGACAACAGCAAACTCAGAACCCCAGACGTCTGACTTGTGTGTTCCATCCATAGCTTGCGTTGTAGACATTACCGGCCACCCTCCTTTAACAGCGCTGCTCCCATGAAAAACCACTACTCAATATAGACTAGGATCATGGATAATTCGAGCTAGACGATGGCGCCGTGTCAAAGGAGACTGCATCCATCTCCGATCCGACAGCAGCCAGCACCACAGTGCTTGACACACGGTGCCACATTATCTCAAAGATGACCTTGCGTTCCCTATGCATCCCAATCCTCGTCTAAATGTGCACACACTGTCCTCACAGTCATACCAAAGATCACCCGGCCATGCATTGTTAGCTTTACATATATACTGACCAAACAAAAAAAAAGGAACTGATGAGAAGGAGGATAAGAATTCTGATCTCTCTGCGCCTAGCTGGTAGAGTAGAGTACGCTAATGCAATTGGACTCTGTGCAAGCCGCAAATATGTGAAATACAGATGCTCTGTTCGAATAATTGTGAAATTAGATGGGCCTGTACAAATGATCCACGACGTTGACGAAGAACTGAAATTTATGATGCACACGCATAAATGAAAGTAGCATGCACAAGAATCGTGTGTCCTGGTTTCAAAAGAGCTGCATCATACTTTTGGTGAGACACGATCCAGTTTGAGGTTTCTGGTGTTTAGCGAACCGTATCCTGAACCATTCTGCTTGACGAAGAAACGGACTCCATCGACGATCGGCTCACCTCTCATGAAGGAACACATCATGAGTCGTTCGAGCAGGAAGGCGAAATTGGTAGAAGCCAACACTGCATCGCCCTTATTAGGCCATATCCTGCAGGCCAGAGCCTGTAATCCCACCATGAGAAACTGCTCCTCCATATCCCACGGGCGTGCCATGTGGTAGAAGACCACATCGCCGCCAGTGGCATCGTGCTTAGAACACAATAGCGGGCTCACAAAGATGGGCTCGTGTTCCTTATGCATCCCATTCCTAGAAAATGTGCACATTTGCGCACACACTGCTTTCTTCAGCACGTACGATCATAGGCTCACTGGTCAGTGTCACAGCGCCGATTGATGCCGTGCCCTCTTCTCAGTCAGACCAAAAGAAGAGAAGGTGTTCTAATATATATGCCTGACAGAACTAATGCAACTGATACATATCAGCCTCAGGATCAGGGGCAATACTCCTGCAGATACGCACACCCAGCTCTGCATGCTGTTCTGGACTGAACTTATGGACGAACGCTGTTATATTTTTCAGCCGCATGTGGAGTTACTGATCGGTGCTGTGCTATACACGTGCCAGCTGCAAATTAAGAACGGGCAGGAATTGATTCATATTAGGGCACGTTTTATAATAGAGGTAGTAGTCACATATAATTTTATCTAGATCTACACATTAATTTAGAGGTGATACATACTACTTACACTACACCCAATCCACTTGCTACCGATCAACTTCTCTCTTTCTCTCCCATTTTATGAAATTTGTGTCGAGGTTACCCCTTGTATGAGGGATGGCTGCTCCTCCCTCTCTTCTCTTGTCTCATCCATATCATCATACGAGTCTACATGGCATCTTAAAATTAGTGATAAGAGGCTTATAGTACTTGCCCTTAGCTACCATTCACATGGATCGGGTTGGATGTGACAGGTGTCTTCCACTGGGGAGGGTACTGGCTAACCCATATTCATACCCAGTTTTACCCATCCCCATCTATAAAAAGATAACCCGCACCTAAATTAAATTAAGTGACTATTACCCAGCAAGTATGGATAACCCAATGAATAAGACAAAAGAGATATGTCGGTCCTACATGTAGAAAAGGACTAATATATATACAAAGTTGCTCTTACAAATAATAAATCATACTCCCAAATTTCATAAGTTTTTTAATGTGAACGTGAGTTTAAAAAAAATTAGGTCCGAGGTTTACACATAGAAAATGGGTATGGACAAAGTGGGTAAAATGGGTAATACCATCCTCATATCCAAAATTTAAGTATGCACAATCTTTTACACATACCCTACTCAAATAGTGTGGGTATGCATATTAGGATAGGTAATGAATACAAGCATTATAGTGTATACAAGCATGTGATTTTAGCGTTAGTGTTTGTCATGCTCATATGGGTTTTATTGTTCGTCAATTATTAGAGGTGTCTCGTATATATTCTAGCTTTCATTTCTTCATGAAGTAATGTCTTACTCCCTCCGTTTCGAAATGTTTGACGCTGTTGACTTTTTAGCACATGTTTGACCGTTCGTCTTATTCAAAAAAATTTAAGTAATTATTAATTCTTTTCTTATCATTTGATTCATTGTTAAATATATTTTTATGTAGGTATATAATTTTGCATATTTCACAAAAGTTTTTGAATAAGACGAACGGTTAAACATGTGCTAAAAAATCAACGGTGTCAAACATTTCGAAACGGAGGGAGTACATAAAGTTTTTTATCGTATAAAGTCAAGACAGTAAATTGGAAAAAAGTCAAACCATGTATGATTATTGTTGTTCTTAAAAAGGAAAAAAGAAACTAGTCTAAGTCTTATTAAAAAAAGTTGAGCTCATCGAGGAAATGGGCTTGAATTTCGAAACGGGTTTACCTGCTTCTCAAGTTATGGGAAATCACAAACCAGCAGATTTCTCATGCTAATTTTGCACATGTTCACTCCCTCAGTTCACACACCTCAAGCAGAGGTCTGAAAACGGTAGAACAGTACAGTACTTCTATATTCACGTCATGGTTTGCCCAGCGATGAAAGACACAATCGATGGGTCATCAATAATCAGCTTCAGTCCAATGAACTTCTGCGTGCCAAATCCCTGTTGCGTCCCATGCCAATGAATTCTTCAGGGATCAATCACTCTGCTCCATTTCATCGATCACTGGTGGAGAAACCATCTTTCGTCGGTCGGGCTAATTCCACAATAGTCCCGGTTGCAATAAAAACTGGAACTAAAGATGATCTTTAGTCCCGGTTGAAAAAGGTAACGGGCATATTTCATCTTTAGTCCCGGTTGGTAAGATGATCTTTAATCCCGGTTCAAATGCTGTTAGGGCCTGTCAGGCCCCCCCGGGATCTTTAGTCCCAGTTAATAACACCAACCGGGACTAAAGATCGTAACTTTAGTTCCGGTTGGTAACACCAACCGAGAATAAAGATCCCGGCGATCTTTAGCCCCGGTTCATAACACCAACCGGGAGTAAAGTCCCACCCCTATATATATGTCTTCTTCCTCCTCCAGCCCAAGCAAGCTTCAAAATTTCTTCAAAAAAGAGGGGAGGTCATGCCAAAATTTCTAGTGAATTTGTTGTGTTGATTATATACAAATTGGAGGTGCCTAAAAGGTTAGCAACTTCATCCTCCAATGTTTTTTTTTTCATATTACATTTGGAGCTATGTTTTGCACACTTTTTTATCTCCAAAATTTTGTTGTTAGTTGATGAAAGAGAAAATTTGTGTGGAGAAGAAAGAATATATAGAAATTTAGTTTATTTGGTAAAGAAGGTTTTATAAAAAAGTTGAGAAGGAAAATAAATGGTAAGTTAATCTTGAAAAATACAAAACAAAGTAAAATGAAAAATTAAAATAAGTACAACACATTAATATTAGTTTAAAACTTTATAAATAGTAAATATATAATTATTCGGTGTAATATTTCATAATATTTGTATGAATAATGATATGTCATTATTGTGTGACTGTTGAAAGAGTTTGTAATTATTTTATAATTATTGTATGACTGTCTTTATTGTACGAATAATTATGTGTGTACGATTTTTTTTCTTGTCATGTAGATGGATCGGCAATGGATGTACGCTGACCGCCGGTCCAAAGAGTTTATTGACGGCGTGCATTATTATTTGAGAGTGGCCGAAGCTAACAGGCAAAATGGTTTTATTTGTTGTCCATGCAATAAGTGTAAGAATCAGAAGGAGTATTCCGCATCCAGGACTATTCATTTCCACTTGTTTGAGTCGGGGTTCATGCCAAGCTATAATTGTTGGACATCCCACAGAGAGCAAGGTGTTAAAATGGAAGAAGATGAAGTGAAAGACGACAATATTCCGGACTTTGCTCAATACGTTGGATTTGAAGGAAATCAAACGGGCGAGGAGGAAAGGGATGCTGATGGTAACAACGTTGCGGATGATCTTGGTCAGATGTTGCAGGACGCCAAGGAGGATTGCGAAAGTGAAAAGGGGGCCCATAAATTGGACAAGATGTTAGAGGACCACAGAACGTCGTTGTACCCAGGTTGCGAGCAGGGGCACAAAAAGTTGGATACCACTCTGGAGTTCTTGCATTGGAAGGCAAAAAATGGTGTTAGTGATAAGGCATTTGGCGATTTATTGAAACTCGTCAAGAACATTCTTCCGGAGGGAAACAAGTTGCCCAAGACAACGTACGAGGCTAAGAAGATAGTGTGCCCTTTAGGACTAGAAGTTCAGAAGATTCACGCATGTCCGAATGATTGTATCCTATATCGCAGTGAGGAGTACGAGAACCTAGAAGCATGCCCTGTTTGCAAAGCGCTACGATACAAGATTAGACGAGATGATCCAGGAGAAATTGACGGGCAGCTAACGAAGAAGAGAATTCCTGCTAAGGTGATGTGGTATTTCCCTATAATACCACGGCTAAGGCGTTTGTTCAGGAACAAGGGGAACGCTAGAATGATGCGGTGGCACGCTGAAGAGCGTCAACAGGACGGGATGCTGAGACACCCCGCCGATGGTTCGCAGTGGCGAAACATCGACAGAACATTTAAAGACTTTGGAAAGGACGCACGAAACATACGGTTTTGTTTACGTACGGATGGCATGAATCCGTTTTTCGATCTCGGCTTCTCCTTCGCCGCCGCGCCACGCCTAGGGCAATCCCGCGCCGACACCGCCGTCGTCTCTCGCCGTCGCTCGGTGGTCCTCGCCGCCTCCGCCGCAGACGCCGCCGCCGCACTTCTTGGTGAGAGCCGCCGCTGCCTCTCTCTCTCGATCTCTATCAATCTCGATCTCGATCTCTCTCTCTCTCTCCACGACCGACGATCGACCCGGCCGCCGCCGCCGACGACAACGTCGCCACTGCCACGAACGCCGCCCCCCCTCGAGCTCGCCACGCCGCCGCGCCACGCCGCCGGGCCGTGACGGCACGCCTCCGCGACGCCACGCCGGCCGTCGCCACTGCACCAGTACTCCGCCGCCACCGCCTCGAGGTCGCCACGCGGCCGCAACATTGTTCGGCCGCCACCGCCTCGAGCTTGCCACGCCGCCGCTACGCCACGCCGCGGCCGCCGCGCGCCGCCACCGCGCCCGCACGCCGGCCGCTAGGCCCCCCGACGACGCCGCGCGCCGCGCCTGCACGCCGCTGGCCCCGACGCCGCCGCCGCGCCCCCACGCCGCCGGGCCCCCATGCTGCCGCCGCGCCCGCACGGCGCCGGCCGGCCCACGGCGCCCTGACGCCGCCGCCCCTGCACGCCACTGCCGAACGTGAACTGTCACGTCCTGATAAATTCATCCCGAAATAAAAATCATTTTCTAAAAGGAATAATAGAATTAATTAAAATTCGAAAAAAAAATGGCAAACACTAAAATTCGTACAAGAAAAATTCAAATGTGGCCCGGAGAATTTTTGTTAAATTCTCCTTGGTCTAAAAGGAGCCCTCAAATTTTACTTGAATTTTCAGAGCACCGGAAATAATTATTAAGCAACAAAAACAATTATCAAAGTTTATTAAAAAGAAAACCTAAAAATAATCCCCCTCCTCCCTTTGGGCCAAGTCTGGCCCAAGGTTTCTCCCCTCTCCCTCTCGGCCCGCGGCCGAAGTCCCTCTCTCCTCCCTCTCTTTCTCTCCCTCTCCTTCTCTCCCTCCTTCTCTTGGGCCTCCTCTTCCCCTCCCGGCCCACTCCCTCCTCTCCTCCTCCTTCTGGGCCGCCCCTCCCCTCCCTCCTTCCCGCCCGGCCCAAGCCGCGCCACCCAGCCACCTGGCCCACGCCGAGCCGCTCCACGCAAGTGCTGCGCGCACGTGCGGTCGTCTTCCTCCCCCAGCCGGCCTCTTATCTCTCCCGTGCAAACCTAGCGCCGTTCCTCCTCCAAATCCGCCCCATTCAAGCTGGCTCTTTCCAAATCCTCTTCAATTCCCCCCAATTCCCCCCTTGAATGGTGCCCCCAATCGCCGGGAACGCCCGCGCCAACTCCGGCCACCTTCCCTGGCCGCCGGCCGCCTTTTCCGCCGCCGTTCCGACCTCCCCCGTGGCCGGCTCCCTCCCCTCTCCTATAAAATGGAACCCCCTCGCCCCGTTCTCTCGTTTTAGCCCCCTCCCGCGATCTCCCGTGGTCCCTAGCCACCTCCCCGCTGTCGCCCTTCTCTTTCCCATGCGTCGGGCGCCTCCAGCCGCCTCTCCCTCCTCGACCGTGCGCCGGCCGGCCGTGCCGTCGCCTTCCCCGGCGTCGCAGCCGCCTCCTCTCCCCCGGCCTGCCCTCCGTTTCGCGCGGTGACCGCCGGAGGCGCGTTCCCGCCGTCGTCCAGTGGCGTTGCCGCCACTGTACCACCTCCAGCCGCCCCTGCCGCGCCGCTCAGGTGCGGGCCGGCCGCGCCGTCTCCTCCCTCGGCGTCGCCGCGTCGACCTCCACCCCGGCCTGCCCTCTGATTCGTCCGGAGACCATCGCCGTGTCGCCACCAACCCCTCCACCCACCTCGCCAGAGTCCTCCGGCCGCCCGTTCCTCCTCGCCGGAATTTCCCCGGTCGACCGCGTCGCCGTCTTCTCCGGCATCGCAGCGGCAAGGTCGTCCTCGGCATCGCTTCCCCTCCATCCAAACCCCTCCGCGGTCCATCGTCGTCGCCTCCGTTCGTTCTCGTCGTCGAGGTCCCGTCAGTCACCCGGCTCATCGTCTCGCGGCGCCGCCTCCGTCGTCGGCATCGCTGCGGCGTGTTCCACGCCATCCTCGCATCCGTGCAGCTGCTGCCGGCTGCCCTCGTCGCCTCCTCGCCAGCCCCGGTCGTCGTCGTCGTCGTTCCCGGTCGTCGTGGCGTTCGTCCCTCCGTCGAGCCGTTCTCGTCCGTCGTCCGCGTTCGTCAAGCGAGCCGCTGCAGCCCCGTCGTCGTCTTCATCCTCGGCTCCGCATCGTCAAGCGTTGCGCAGGCCGCGTCTCGCCTTCGTCCAAGGATCGCCGCCGAAGTCGTCCCCTCGCCGTTCGCCTCCATCGTCCCCGAGCTGTCTCCGCCGCGCCCGTTCGTCGTTGTCGTTC